AGGGCCATTTGGACAGAAATGTCTCTGAGTTCACACAAGAGGGGGAGTTTGCCACAAGATCCCACCCCACTCCACATAGCCATCCCACCGCACTCAGACCGAGATCCGACCGCACTCAGACCGAGATCCCACCGCACTCCTCATAGGGATCCCACCGGACTCGGGCCGAGATCCCACCTGCTGCACTCAGGCCGAGATCCCACCTGCCGCACTCAGGGCATACTCACACGACCACATATTTTTGCAAAATCGCAGATTTTATGTGGTTTTCCGGGTCACAGCTGGCACGTATTTCGCATGTTCACACAAAAGGGCACGTAAATGTCAGCGGCCTGGACAGCCGCGGGCTTACATATTTTGCGGGGACCTCCAGAGGTCCCCGCAAAATCGTATTTCTTTTTCCTCTACTGCTTTCTGGAAGCAAATTTTATTTTTTAAAGTGCATTGTGTTGTCTGACTGCACACAACGCATTTTCGCATCTCAAGGCCAGGTCGCGACCCTGTCCTTTCTGCTTCGGGCAACAAAAGGTTGAGCAGTGCGACCCGCAGGTGCCATATAAACGCAAATTCACATACGTAAAATTTGCAGAAATACGTGCTAGTGTGAGTACCCCCGCACTCAGACCGAGATCCCGCCGCACTCCGATCGAGATCCCACCACACTCAGATTGAGATCCCACAGCACCCAGATCAACATCCCACCGCACTTAAAGAGCATACTCACACTAGCACTACCACAATCTTAAATGTATCGGACCGTAATTACGGCCTTACTTGTATGTATCTGACCCTAATTCCGTCCAGAAATACGTAAAAGAGTCCTTCAGTAGTGTGAGCATGCCGTTAGATTGGATAATCACACTCATTTTGTTGTAACTTGATGCGCAACTGGCTTTTGCCGGACAATGCAGCGGAGCTTTCTTTTATCTCTTTTATCTTTGGGGAAACGACTCGCGGGTCGCACCCACATTTCGAATAGGCAACTTAAATTAGCAATTCTCGAAAAAAAAAAAAAGGGCAAAAAGTCGCCTCAAAAAACGGCTGCAGTTTCAACCCCCCGCTAAACTTTTCTCAACTTTTTGCACATTTTGAAACTCAAACAATGACATGGGCACCAATTTGTCTTTTCTTGCCCATTTCAAACTAAGAACGTGATTGGGCGCAGTTTCCCCTTTATCTTTTTTCTTTTTCCTTTATACTTTTTGCTTTCCTTCTTTCGATTGGCAGGTGGGCCCGGGCGATTAGTCCGGGTTCAAACTCATGATCTGTACCTGGGTCTCCCTGGGCGGGTTTGTGGTGATCCGTGGACCTCAGCTACCCAAGTCAAAAGCAGCCCTTCCCCCACCAAAGGTAAATCACTGAGTCCGAGTAATTCACTGGGCCAAGGCAGCTGCGCGCTGTGCAATAGCCACGCCACATGACGGCCTTCCGAAAGGCAATAACTGCTCTCTCTCTCTCTCTCTCTCTCTCTCTCTCTCTCTCTCTCTCTCTCTCTCTCTCTCTCTCTCTCTCTCTCTCTC